ACCGCTCGCGCCGCTGCATGCCCACCGATAGGGATCCTTTAGCGATCTCACTGTAATCGTTTAGCAGAAAGAGTCTCAACGTTGATGAGCGGCAATGATATTCGAACCACCGGAAAGGAATCCCGATTCTCGGCTTCTAAGCCGTTTTTCTTGGTTTTTCTTCATTTGTGCATCACTGACCACCTCTCCTTCATTTTTAGTGGGCTGCCCTTTCGTCATTGTAAGCTCCGCTTCAGAGCCTGAAAGGTTGGAAGATGATCCAGCGCTTTAGGGGTTGTTTACTACGTGGCTGCAACACGGGTAGGTCAAATGAATTCACGTCGCCAATGCGTATTTCTACAATAGCCTCATTATCGAAGGGCGCGACTTACCAGATGGTCTTACTTACCAGATGACAGGAAATAAGTGAATTGTCTTACCCTGGTTCATTTGCGGCCTCAGAACGTGCATGTAGCTGGCTTCCAGTTCTTTTCCGTCCAGAACTGTACCAACTTCATTATCGCAACATACTGGCTTAGAGATGATGCATCCGGAAGCGGCCGTTATTGGACGTCTATGACTTCTGTAGAAATTCACCAGCGCAGGTACCGAAGCGAAGGACTCCTCTTCAAGCTGAAACATGATCATATATGTAACGTAATGTATGCAGATGATAAAAGAGGTAATAAGGAAAAATTACGCTAAGTAATTGACAAAAATAGCGGAGCTCTTGCCATTTGGCGCTCGCCTTTAGTACATGTATGGCTCAAGGGCCACATCCTGTTAAAATCAACCGATACCTCCAGTTCCACAGGATCGAATTATTAGACGGGATTTGGAGGTCAGAAAATGGCTTGCGCATCAATTAGCCCACACATTGTGCACTAGACAATATACGTGTACGACTTGTATGCTAATTGGAATTAAAATCGAATGAGCGGTACACCACAAAATGGAGCTTCACTGCTTCATCTTTTCATTCTATCTCGCGGTGAGATAGTGAGCAAAAATAAGAAGAAATGGGCCATTATGGTCCCTTTTACTACTTTTCAATGAATCGCAAATCATACATACTCACATTCACACAGAAACTCGGGAATCCTATTGGATTTTAGAAGGACCGAATCAACACTGTACAAGCTGAGTGAAGGGTTTGATTTCTAAAATGCAGTGCCAACCTCAGCCAAAACTTCGCTAAGCTATGCTGGAATTGACTAGGCTAACAAAAACCTGAGTTGGATTCGCCGCAAGCCTACACCTTTGAGCGTCGACTCACCAGAGTGGGCCTCCGCTTGTATCCCATAAATCGCTCAATCGTTTGTATTCCCATAAACGCTTGAGACAACAATGCTTGAAAAACGTGAAGCTAATTGGCGATATTCTCTTTGTCATTAATGACGATTTAAGATTCCATTTCTTGAGAAATAGCTGGATTTAGTTTGAGAAATGTATTAAGGCCGCTTTCGAAGCCCTCATCATTCTTTATGGGGATGAGTCAATATGGTCAACAGTAGAGGGGAAATGTAGGGTCAGATAGAGCAGAATTGATGAGTACTAGCTTATTCTGAAGAAGTTCCGCTTCGGCAAATCCCGTTCATGGAAAACCAAAGCATAGCAGTCACAGTGACGCCATTTTCTGCCGCCTGGGTTTTCCAACTTTTAGGCGCTATATCCGATCGCAATTGAGATACTGAAGAAAATGAAAAAAAGGTATTTTAGAGTAAAAAAAACTTTTCAATCCCATAGCTTTCCTAAAGCAGACATTGGAGTGGTCGAAACGTACAACCAAAAGCACAACAATATCACGCATAAGCAACCTTTGGTGATACATACATACAGGGGGGGGGGGCCAAAAAAAAAGACATTTTGCCTATGTCGGACTTCGGCTCTTTTTTCTTCGCAGAGATTGCTGTCGTTGACGGGAGTTCCTCAGCAGAGTATTCCCTAAGTGTTCCTCTATTAGTGTACGCAGGCTCTCCTTCACTGCCCTCACCGTCTTCAGAATATGACGTCATCTGTCACCGTCGTCAGGCTCAAGGAGGTCTACCGTAAGAGCTTCAGCCTGAAGCTCTTACGCAATTTCGTGAATCGATTTAATGTTGGATAGTTTTCTAGAGGCATTAGCTACCACTGTGCAAATCCCCTCGGAACTAGCTTTCCAGTAAGGGTCGTTATGGTACACGATCCTTCGAAGACCCCATTGAGATCGACCAGTGCACCATGTTTCCAGGGCAAATTCTTCTGATGCCGTCCACGTACGTGGCCACTATGAAGATTTTCTTATAGAATGGAATGCGCTCTTTAATAATAAGTTGGAACCGTTCGGTCTGAGTTGAGTAAAATGTGCTTAAATCCATCTGGAAGTGGAGGCAAAATGTCTTTTTTTTGGCCCCTGTATATTCGCTGCATATTAGGTCGTCCTGGAAGTCCAGGAAGTAAAGCAGGTCTTGATCTGTCACACTTTTATTAGATTACTGGCGAGCCAATTCTTTGTTTTGCTGCTAATCATTTTCGATTTAGTTAGGGCTTTAAGGCATTCCAGGAAGTTTGAATCAAAGGTCTTGAAGCAGTAGTTTGAAAAAACTTAATCCATTAATGTGCATGCAGCATTGTAATGTAGTGTGTGGTCGCGAAAGTGCTCATTACAGCGTTGGTTCAAAGTTTTCGATGAAGGGATTCGAAATTGTGTGAGAGCGGTTAAGGGCATTATCTCAATAAAATCAGGAATTTTGAGCGCCTTAAGTAGTAGGGGAGGGGAGAAATTATCAAATGGGCACCACATGAGCTGGCTGAGGAGAGCAAATCAAAGTTCAGAGCTGGGTCAACCTTATGTTGTTACTAGTAACAACGAGGGTCGTACCTGGTTAAGTTTATAGGAGGGGTCGTACCTGGTTGAGTTTATAGGAGGGGGGTCGTATCCGCTTCAGTCGCGTGAAATACATGTGAGTTTGTGGTGAAAGTGGAGTTTTCACGAGTAGTAGGCTAGGTGAGTGAGTTGGGAGCGCATGGGAGAGAAATTCGCCGTTTCAGCGTGCGTATATACCCCCCTAGAAAATGAGGTTGTGGGAAGATAGGTAAAATTGGGTAAAAGTAGGGGTGAAATGGTGGAAATGATAGGAAGATTTTCGAGAATTTTTACGTTTCGGAGTAGCTACATACATCTACTTATATACCCCCTCCCCGCTCGACGGCATTTTTGGAGGAAAAAGTGGGCGGAGTTTGGTGGGTTGAGTGGTATCAGAATTAAATACTATAGAGAGGATGATGGTGGTCGAGGTGTCGAAAAGGGGGTCGTACCAAATCCACCTTGGGGGAGGGGGGTCGTAAAAATTTTTGAAAAAGTAACAACGATAGGACCGACCCTGTTCAGAGTTCTCGTCGGAGCTCACTCTACTTGTTAAGAATCTACTTTGTCAACATTTAGAGCACTCTGTCATGCTCAAAGAATGAATGGATTTCTTGCAGCAAAAGTAAACATATTCGCCGACATCTGCACAGCAAAAAACCTGCAAAACATATTCCAAAACCAAAATTCGAGCCAATTGCTCTACATGTGGCTCATGCTCCTCCTGCTCCGCTTCATACAGACCACTGCACTATGTTCCTGTGTTCATTATAGTTCTGCCAGGAGGCTGTAAGGTGGAAAATTGATTACGGCCAATTTTTCGAACTTTACGTTGTGGCACAATATTGGCAACACAACAATAAACTATGCGATATTGCCAAGTGCGAAAGCTTGGGATATACTGCACTGAGCTCTTGCGACCTTAAGCAATCAGCGCTGAAGAACGCACCAGTCGTTAGATTTTGAGTCGATCCACTCCTACTGTTTCCCCATTTGAGGCAACATACTCTCCAGGAACTGTCATTCTGCGGCCGAATAGGAGAATATAAAAAGGAAGCTCTTTCTCCGATATATCGACGCTTATCTTCGCTTCATCATCAAGGCTAACGTGCCACTTGTTCAAGTAAATCACTCTGACGACTTCTACTGAACTAGAGATAAAATCTTTTCGAGGCCAGTAGGTGAGCGCGCCGCCGTTCGCACTTTCTCCGTCCTCTCCCTTTTCGTTCACTTCGCGGCTCAATATCATGACTGATGTATGTCTACCATTAGTTAGGAAGACGCGGTAATAACAGTAACCCTACAATTAGGTGACCGCGGCCACATGAAATCTCAATGTCATCATCGCAGCATGCCTAACGTGAGGCAGATGGTAACGAATAAGAGGAAACTAGAGCCTTAAATGCCACATCTGGACGATTTGTGTTTTCTTTTGCCTCAAAGCCCCCAGTAGCTACTGTGAGCGCTTTGCTACCCACTCAAGGGACCATCGTTAATGGATTGCTTTCTGATGTCGGGATTTTGACAAATTGTTCGAGGGCGAACAGAAAAGGCGTTTTGGCAATCGCGTCGAGCACCTGGCACGGCTCTCTATCCCTCTCTCAATCTCAAATCACACAGTGACATGACAGTGTCAGAGGGCGAGTCCGACACGTATCAGAATTAATGACTCGCAATTTATACGTTTTGCATAAGTAAAAAGAAAACTGATCAAATCGACATGAAGCAACAATAGGCGCATACAGCACTCGAAAAGGGAATCTTACGATTCAGGTGGAATTATGACTCACATGAAATTCTTTTTTGCCATTTTCGCATATGGTGTTGATCTGGAAGTGAAGAGCTCTTCCATTCCACATGGCTGTTAGCACATATTCGCCAGGCATCGATATTGAGTCGCGAACCTGAAACGGAAGTATTCGGGTTGTACAACAAGAACAAGTGAAATTTCGGAATGACCAAATATGAGTGCTATCAAAATGTATCCTAGTGTTCTAGTGAGCACGGAAGTGGTGTAGCGGGTGTGAATCTCGGACCGCATCTCACCAGGAAAGCCTGGCTCCATTCCAATGGGGTTGGACAAATGGTGCCAAGCTCGGGAAATATAAACAAGGGGGGTGAGAAACAAAGGGCACTCCCCCAAGGTAAAACCGGATGGAAAAAATCCTAACACTCCAATCCAACCCTTGAACTCCTCGACAATGACGGCAGATAAGATCGCATTCTGTGGACGAACAGGGCAATGAGAAACCTGCTTCTATTTTGTGGGGAGGGAGAAGGGTACAAGAGAATATTTGCCGTGAAACTGTCGGCAACAGCGGCACTCTGTGCGGTAGAAAGTTTGATAATGTGCGCCATGAGAAAATTGACCCTTTTCGAACATCCCTGGACACTATGGCTTTCACATCGGCTGTCCCTCAGAGTATTAATTAGATGGTATAGTTTCTCACTGTGGTAACTTGCGCAGATCTTGCACTGTCCATCACGTCATCACTTTGTCCGTTGTCACCACTACTGTAGATGCTCCTTCTAGATTCCGCCTTTGCTCTTGGGTAGATATTTACCCAGAACGGGTAGATCCAACCAATGGAACCGTCCCAGTAGTGGATTTGTCTCTCGCCTGCTCGCACCTTTGGTACATGTTCTACAGTTGCTTGAATACGAAGCACTTTTATTAGGTACTTTATTTACTATAAGTCATTGACATGGTCTTAAGCTTTGGCAGTATGCAAACTCGGAATGTGTGCAATTAAAGACCGTGCTATGCATTGAAGACAAATTTCAAGGTTTTTTTTACATCAGAGTTTGAACCAAGTCAATAAATGGAACGGGAAACGAATCCGCGCCGATATTCCTCAACCATTCTCGCCCAGCAGTATTATTCCATCACTCGTTCATGTAAGCAACTAGATTCTCCACAGCGAAACCCGTTTCAAGCTCGAGTTTCGAGTTCAGTTTCTCGTGTTTGTTATGGCTCCTTGTGTGAGGTAGGACAATGGGGACAATGAGGATATAGTGTACTCAACGATTAATAGACATGTGTAATAGGAAGACAACGCAGCTGTCATGTTGACACACGTAGATGGACCCGAAAGGAAGCTCCTCCGCCAACCCGATTACAGGATATCCGCAGGACTCAGAGCTTGACCAAAATGAGGAAACTCGGGAATTTAGAGGTAGCATGAGCCTTACATGTGATATGATGACTTAAGTTAAAAAAAAACGGGATGGGAGTAACTTACCAATGTCAGGTTCGTTCCTGAGCGGCGATTTGCCGAAATCGTACGGGATATAGAAATGGCTTTTTTTCACAAGTAAACTACTAGGTTCCTGATAAAAACTTTCTCACCAGTAATATGGAGCTGTATACTGATTCATCCGAGTATTCGGGAAACATCTACTTTTCCATGGAGTTGTGTAACCAGTCGGTTTATGAGAAAAATACCAGTCAAAACCAAAAAAAAAGAAAAAAAAGACAAAAAAAGAAGAAACAGAGGAGCAGATAATCAAGCATATTACTTACGATGTGCACTAATTGACTCGAAAAGGGTAAAATCTACTGGCTCACCAGAAACTCGCCGTCCTCCTTCAGTATTTGCTCAGATTTGATTCGCGTCAACATACCACCATACCACACTTGTTCCTTGATATTATGAACGCTGGTTGTCGGACAGTCATAGTCCGACATTCTGTAAAAAAAAAGGCGATGAAAATGTGCTCTCTAGTCACGCCACGAATCTTCGATATGGCACAACTGGGTCGAAATTGAACATTTGGCTAAATATGCAAAAAGAAAAGTGAAATTTGGGAAGACAATTGAAACTCTCCACAACTGTGCGACATTTTTTCAAAGCGAAAACGGTAGAGAAAAAGAAAAAGACAAATCTAGTTTTGATGGAAAACGAGTTCAGAGGAAATGTTAGCAACGGATAATGCTCACTAGAAGTACATATGAGATGCAGTAAGAGTTTAGCATAACAATACATGTAGTTGACTTCAAAGGATACCCACTAATAATTTGAAAAAAAAACAATAATTTGTTATATATTTATATAGTTTCTCATTCCAATTATCTCCCAAGCAAAATATGTAGAGACATGTAAAAATAGTCAACGTATTTTCTATCGGCATAGAGGGCCTAATATAGTAAAGTTCGCTCTTCTCGATTACATTGTTAGTACAGGAAGCAGAAAGCAAAGGTAGAGAGACAAAGGCAGCATGTAGCAGAACGAGTGGAGAATCGTGAAAAATCGAATTTTTCTGTTTCCTCACTACGAGTATTTAACGATTTCAGATCTCTCGAAATTTCGTTAGAGCCTGAAAGAAGTGGTCGGGGCGAGAGCCGAAATTTTCTGGGATTGAATGAAAAGAAGTCAGTGAAGTCTCATGAAAATTAAAACTATGAGGTTCCCAAAGGATCAGAACTAAGGTCATCGTCAGGGGCTTATGAAGAAAGGGTCCTATAGCGTTAGTAGAATGAAACTCGAACCAATATACGGCACAATTTTTCTGTTATTTGTGAAGACTGAGAGAGAGGCAATGTTCGGCATATTATGAACGGAAATAAAGGGTGGTCACTAGTCACCGAGAAAACTAGGGCACTGAATGTCATGGGCCCTAATTTCATCCATCACGGTTGGTGGTGGGAGTATGATCGTATGGAGCAACGCTGGAAAATACGAAAGCTTCATGACCTTACCGCTACCATCCATAGTGCAAGTTGACATGCCCTAGCATATTTTGAAAATGTCGTTCGTAATAACGGAACGATGTAGTTGAAATTATTTGATCAATGAATTTTCTAGGCGATTACTACTATAAAAAACTATTCACATGTTCTTCAATTGAGTAATATTAGAGTTCAACGGTATATTCCACGAAAAATTAGGTGGCTGATAGGACACTCATGAGGCTAGGGCAGCTAATTAATTATCCGTCCGGTCGGTAGGTTACGAGAGGCCCTCTGGTAATACTTGAATAACGCTGAGGCCCATTAAGACCCTCGTCGTTGAGAGACGGTCGTATTCCGTTCTTGGCCCTCTCAAAAAAAAACGTCTGAGGAAAAGCCAAATGGAGGACTCTTTTCGTCATATGTTTCCTATTTACATAAGGTTTATTTGTTTGATTGTTTTGTTTTGCTTGCAGTTTGTTGAATAAAATGTACAAAGTTTTGTTTAGATTCTCTATTATTATTAATTATCACTTTCACTGCCTCTTTATAGAAACCAATATTAAGTAGTCATAATAACATCTGTTATCAACATTGAGTCTTGCGGACAAACGAATCACCAAGGCTTCAACGGCTTCGCCCCCTAATGCTTTCCTTTATCGGTTTAATGCCGGCTCGATTAAGACTCCATGATCCCTCAGTAACCATGAAAGCGCTCTAGCGCTAATCATTTAAAGATGAGCGCTAAAACATTTACCGAGATTTCAGGATAGTTTAATGAGTCGACCCTACTTTTATGAGCGCAGCAAAGTATTAGGTTGATGCATAATTATTGCGGCTTTTTTCGCGCGTTCTTTTCTCGAGAAGATTGGCGTTTGAGTTTCTGTTTTTTTTCATGAGAATATTCTTCTTTCTTCCATTAACAGAAATGCTTATCGGAAATTGTCCTCATCTTCACCACACATGCTTACTACTTCTATAAATGTTAGAAGGCGGCGGGGCCATTCCGCGATCTCATCAAACTTCTCAGCGAGGGAGCAATTAGCAAAACCCAAGACGAAGGATCGTTCAAGAAGTTTAAAACGCCACATCTACCGAGCGGAGCTCCTACAGACTAGCAATTCAATCAGACGTTGAAAAACTGGCAAACGAACAAATTTTAGGATGAGCTGGATGCGTTGGTGGCCAGTGTTAGAGCGTGGATCGTCTCCGAGAATCGTGACTTTTTTATCCGTGGAATCACCGAGAGAAAAGCAAATGGGAAGCATTCTTGTGGGATGGTGACCACGCTCCGGGGTTATTATTTAAACATGTTTTTGTTGAATAATTTTGTCGTTTTCGCTGAATAAAATCTGTTGGAAAAAGCCGCAATAATTATGCATCAACCCAATATAATTATCCCAGGGGCTCAGAGGGTAGGACACTTTTTGGCCCAAAACCGTAAATGCGAAGTTGGCGTGTAAGAAAATATTGTGAGGAACGATTGAAAAGAAGCAAAATTAAGGGGTATTGTGATACGCGGCCATCCAGCGCCTTGAAAATGAAGCAAATGACCGATTGTCATGCGAGAACTGGTCGATGAAAATGACTCATACTCTCGCTCCCAAAAAAGACAATAGAAAATAGGATCGAAAGTAAGTTATCCTCATGGGGAGTCGAGAAACAGCGAAGGCATTAGTGAGCCAGGAGCCATAGTGTTTCAATCGTTGACTCAAACTAACTGCACGCAAAAACCTTTGGACATACGACTGGCCGTGGAAGACAATCCACGAAATTTGCAGGACCAGTTTTTTTATCCTCAAATTCCAGTAGCCAGAATGTTTATCTGAGAGGATTAAGGAGCTGCGATGTATGTTGGTGCGAGAGGTCGGCGTCTGGAGGGACGGGATATCTGGCGTGCTCATCAGAGAAGTGCATCATCTCAAGAGATGGCCACTTGTGGCCATTTGTGGTCATTCGAGATTCGTTCATTATCCGTGGAATAGCAATAAAATGAGCGCCAGAGAGGGGCGCAAGTCTGAATAGTGGACGTAACAATCTCGAACATGAAATATGGTGCAGCGACATGAATCGGCGATCATTGAAATGGACACACATGGAATCGTCTTTACGACTATTGCCGATTACTTGAAGAGGCACTAAGCGACACTATGGCTGCATTAACCCGAGGAATCGTAAGTCCCAGTTCAAAATCATGGTGTGTGAATGCTTCTAAAACTGGACTAGAACACCAACAAATTGTAAAAGGAAATTCTGTATGGGAGAAACCGTGACCCATTTGGGCAAAGCCTGCTGATGTGTGAGAGAAACAGACAGTCGTAAATTTGTTAGATGGCTGTAAAGCGTAAGGTACGACACACAGACACCGCTACACGTTCTCCGATTTGAGCAGTGGTTTTGGGGATACCTGAACCTGTGATAGCCGTGTGGTTGAGCCTAGGCAGAGTTAACGAGAAAGAAGCAATGAAACCGTAAACATACATATGTAGCTTAACCTGTTTGGACCAGAGCGGCTTTCCCACCCAAGGTATCAATAACGTACAAGGTGAATAGTTCAAGGTAAAGTATAGGCCGTGTCCGACACGGCTATATCAGACAACATCTGGACGCCGTTTGGTCGCTTACGCAACATTCTTCGTAAGCGAAAGCGTTCGCCGCCGAATGTGCGCCACTGTTGAGATACGAACAAGCGGTGTCAGCGGCGACAATGCCGTCAGCTGATGCCTAAGATGAGCAGACCCTACCTAGTCTGGCAGTTAGCGCCTTATAACAGCAACGCCATGGGTGACTGTGCCATGCGATGTGGTGGGGGTGGGGACGTGGGACTAACGTATTCCGATGACTCATATCAGCGTGTAGAAACATGAATAGCTGAATACAGAAAACATAATACTAAACAATTAGTAATAGTGCCGTAAGAAGTCTCAGACATACTAGAGCAGCCTGTCACACACTGACGACAATAAACACTAAGCGCTTACAGTCGCGTCTCAGCAACCTCTCGCGCCACCCACAATGTTTACGCGGGAAGCGCTGGTGAGCGCTGATGAACGGGACCATTTATGCAAATGGATCGAGCCATAACTGAGGTCCAGATGAGGTTGGATGTGGCTCGTGTGGTGGCCACCCTCTCGCAGACATTGGCGTAATTAACCTATTAGTAAGGCGGGCCGAATAACGGCTACTGCCTGAGCTGGCTGGTCGCCGTCGGCTGGCAGTCTGTGTCGAGAATTTGATTACGACGGCATCGTTACTAAATCGCCTTTGTTGCGAATTTGAGGTGTTGATACGGCCATGATTGGCTCGACTGGAACCTTTTGAGCCGAAGAGTAACGCGGGAGATTAGTATGGGCTATCAGAAGCCCTTGGATATCTGAGAATGCGACCTTCCCAGGTATCTGGTGCCGAAACTCGAGAAGGTACGAGGATCTTCAGGATCCATGTGGCCCTATGGTCAACGTCGTTGAATACCTGTCCATATTATTGTCGACAGGTGTGTGAACGTTACTGCGCGTGGACGAGGGGTCGATACGTCAATCAGTCAGAGTTGGCAAGTGAGCCGTTCATGTTGAGCAATATTCTAAAACTGTTTGCAGTTCGCTCAAACTCCAAACACGATGTGTACGGCTCATCGTTGTAAATTCCTTATCAGGCACCAATGTTTGACCGGCGAGGCGCCGCCGGCGGAAGCGAGAACGTACAACAACCCTTTGAATAACGACCGTTCAGATACAAGCAAAGATAGCGAGGTTGAACTTAAAGAGATGGTGCAGCTCGGCATGATACATGAAACCGCTTATCAGAGAATTTCAAAAAGCTTCTGTTGAAAAGTGGCTCGGCATTACACACACTATGTCGGTTGTTTATAGGAGAACTTTCTGTAGAGGGCCTCAGCAAGCAGCGAAATTCCAACTGTCTTCTATACAGAATTACGTTGAAGAAAGAGTGAAAATGACTCTTACCCGTTTTCGACTATCTTCGTTTTTGGGATGAAGAACTGCCTCAGTACAAAACCCACT